TGAGGCGAAATACCCAAAAAGAAGTTTGTAAAAAAATAAATTTAGTTACTTAGAGAACTGGCTAGACAAGTGCATAAAGTAAATGTATATTTTATATAGACATGCGTATATTTTCTCTAGAGCAGCAGGAAACATAAAGCTATATTGAAGATAGATAGAGTAGATTAAGCACTGCGTTAAAAATATTTATAGAGCAGTTTTTTAACTTCTTTTTAATGTGTATGCATCGGCGCTTTTTCAAAAACCGGGTTTTTTTACATTTTCATAGTCACATAACTGATTAGATTAGTTAGAATCTTAATTGAAATAATAAATGAAAAGTCTAAGCAATATACAAAGAATTTAAAAGGAAAGCCAGCCAAGGAAGATATGAAAAGTTCAAACCAGGAAACAAACCTGGACTTTGTAAAATTGCCACAATGCAAACTATTTTCAATTCAAAATGTGCCAGGTTTTCACCTTATAAAATCCTTCGATTTTCTCAAAGCCATTGAAATTTAAATTCAACTTTGAGCACTTTATGTTGGCGCCGTATGTATTTTAAGAGCAATTATAGAAACACGCCCATACATATTAAAAGCAATCAAGATTAATCTTATCTGTGTAACGTATTGATTATTGAACTTTTCTGATAATCTCAAAGCCCATAGTCTTGAGGATTGGAAATTTGTCAGTGCAGATTAACATTTAAGACTCATTCGGTATCTATGCCGGTATGTGTAAATGATATTAAATTGCAGCTATTCTACAAATTGGCTTTGAAAATGATATCTTCAATAAAACTGGTAGGACAACCACACCTTAGGTAAATGATGTTTTGCCGATCTTAAACCGATTTAATAAAGCACATTTACATCTACTCTGTTCACACCGTGCGACATGTCGTTCGTAATACCGTTAATAACACAATTTGTTTACTAGACAAGGTTTTTAATGCAATTATTCGAATTCTTGCATTTTTTATGTTGTCAGCGCTAATTTCTGCTACTGATCGATGGTTGAGTCTACGTTTTTATAATCTTGTCAACTGATTATTTCCCGTTTTTATTTTTCCTGTTCTTGCTTAGTCTTGTGCCTTCTGAATTCCAGTCTGGTTTTCTATGTCTCGCATTGGACTCAAGTTTAGAGCGTTTTTAGCAATAATTTCAATCTTGATCATTATGTTTAAGACCGCGCCAATAGCTGCTCTTATGGGATAAGTTGCGAATGTTTTAACTTTGCATTGATTCATTAAATATTTATTTTCTGATATTATTTGACTTTTGAGACTGTTTTAGAATATAAGAAGCATTTATTCTCCAAATTTTTTTCTGGTTGCTTCCGGATATGCTCAAGAGCTTAATTACATTCAGACCATTTTCGCATTTGTAATTTGTAAACCTTCGTAAGCTGTAATGTACTAGTAAACATAGGACTAGAATATGATTTTTTCATCGTCACAACATGCTGCTCTAGATAGATCTTTTACACTCCTTTTACGAATTATAGCAAAAATGAACAAAACGTTCAAGTGTTTTTTCTATATCTCTTGTGTGTTGGACTGGTGCTTTTGTAACCGTCCATTCGTATTTTCGACGTATTTCGAAAACGGCCTTAGCTCGAAACTCGAAAAAATCCCCGAGAAACCTTGAAAGGATTAATAACGACTAGGAAAAATACTGTGAATAATGATCTGAAATATTTCTGTCGATAATCTCAAATAACCATTGAGGGTGAAAATTTTTGTTCTTCCTTGGCGTTTATGATGTTTTGAACAAAAATGCTGTTTTATTCTTGTAGTTGTGTATTAAACAAAATGTGCTGTTTCATACATTTCCCAAGATTTATTAGAATTTTCAGATATTTTTCTATAACCGAGCCTTTTTTCATCCTCACGTTTCTCTAAATGTACTTTTTAATTTTCCAAATAAAAAGATTTTGAATAAAAGCATGCTTTAGTGTATTTTAGATTAAATTTTATGATCAAGAGTCATATACATACTCGCTTTCGTGTTGTTTTTATGATACAGCTGATTTCTGGGCAAAACATAGAAATCCTAAATATAAGTGGCAGACAACCTATTAATTAAGGAATTAATAGATTAATTTTTATTAGGGTTAATTCGCTAATTATTAGCCTTTGAAGATACTTCCAATGGCACACGAAAGTTTTCCGCAAGAAGTTCACTTCTTTTCAGATTGGTTCGTAATATCCTGTATATCTCTGTATACAACAATAAAAATGAGGCAAAGAATAATAAACTGAAAAGTCAAACATCTTTTACAGTTTCTATATAGCCCGATAGTCAATAAGTGCGGGACATTTTTTGAATCAACTTTCAGTTTTTTTTGCATTTTTCACTGTTTCTGTTGCAACCTGACTACAACAAACGTAAGCTTTGAGTTTTTCTGCAAACGCCTGATATTCGATATGTCTTAATGCACTACAGTATGCAAAACAATGCGGAATTGGAGCGTTAAATTCAATTAGCATCAACTTTTCCAGAAAAATACCCAGCTTTCAAGCGACAAACAAAAGCAAAACTGCCACTAATATTTGACAATTTTAGCCGCAATTTTTCACAATCGAAATTGTATTTATTTAGATATATCGTTGTTGATATTGCATTGTTGTGTCAGGTCGTGTTGCGCCACGATTTTACGTATCGTGACCCAAATACGTGATAGCCAAACAAGTGCTGCACTTTGTTCTCATTTTTCCTCTTATTATTTTTGCTATTTAGATCTGATTCAATGGAGATTTGCATGAAATTACTTCAATGGGTGGCGGCTTCTACGCCCTTTATGTGCAGTGTTGCACCAGTTGGCGACAACTCAATCAATAATTATTTAAGAGTTAAACATTGAGTATTTTCCGATTGTAAAAGAAGATAGTGTTGCTAAATAATTATCGAAATTATTTATTTAATGAATTCGGTCGAGCTCTCGGAGTCAATTCAAAACTTGCAGTTTGCAAAAGAGAATTAAGTGCAATTTTCTGAAAAAGTTTTAAATGAACACTTTCCACGTCTATGCCTTCTGGACAACGCCCATCAAATGATTGAAAGAAGCCGCAAATTTTCTCATAATGACTGTTTCATAGGCTTGATCGAATGGTGCTTTACGCTTATTGAAACTTTTAAATAAACCGTGAGAAGGCCAGTGGATGTTGTATTGAGTAATTAATCTAGGTATTGGCATATCGCCCATTTGAGCCCATTATGGCTGAGATACTAGCCCATGACATGGGACATATTGTTAATGAAACTAGAAATGGCTAATAATGCCTTTCTAAAGGTTTATTAAAAATTATCCAGTCATTTTGTGCGTTAACTGGCTTTGACTGACAAGCAACTTGTTTTTATTGCACTGCATTTTTTTCTTTAGGGATATTGCTGATCTTTAACCGTAAAAGTGCGGGGAATTAAAAAGTTTATTCACTGGGCGCTGCTCCAGATAAGGTAGGTATTTGCTTGCGACATCGAGTGCCAACCTATTCTTCGAACCTTGTCACGAAGATCATAAACATTGTTAACGACAGAGTAAACTTTGACATTATGAAATTAATTTAATAATAAAATTGCATTGCTTAATCTATCTATAGTAATTGGCTTGAAACATTTCTCCTAGATATGCGTCAGATGTTTCTGATGCTATTTAAGCCAGAAAAATATACACTAAGTGTAGCTTGAGAACCCTCATTGGGCTCCAGGTTGAACACATTTAACATTTAAAGAAAGCTCATAGGCTTAGAGCTGAATGCCCAATCAATAGGCCCGTGTAAAATAATGAAAGGACAAACCTAAAGGAAGGTAAAAAAGGTATTTATAAAATCCTGCCGGTCATTTCCATTCAATATCATGATAAATCAATTAAGCGAAGGCCTTTGTTTGGAATTTTTGCTAATTTTGTATAATGCAAATATGTATCTGTAAAATTAATTAGATAATTAAAAATTCCCGTTTTGCCCTTGAGGCTGGACATTTTTCTTTGTGTCTTAATTAAAAACGAAACCAAAAAAGTCCCATAGGTTACTAGCCAATATCCCACTCGTTCTGCATAATTTCTACAAGCGCTTAACATTTCGTTAAGTAAAGCTCCACATCAAAGTTCAGTAAGCTTGAGATAGTTATTATTACTGACTGGAATTTATTGCTATCTACCCGTAAACACCTACCATCGATAAGACATATTAATTCAAATGGTCGTAAAATTATAGGGTGTATTTGTGTATTAGTTTATGGCGAAATTAACCAATGGCTTATGGTTCGAAAAATGCAGCAATGCACTGGGTGCGTCCAGAAACACCAGGATATTTATATGCATTTATCAATCTGTAATTCATCAGACTGAAATAAAAGTAAATATGTCAGTACTACCTGGTAACATTTGAATACTTGAAGTACTTAACTTATTGGCATTTAGCTCATCCAACTGAACTCGTACCTTATATTGTAGTTATTCCGATTATGTCACGCTCAACTTCTTTACGGATCTGGTCTTACGCAACAAGTATAATATAAATTTGATAAATATTCGCTTCATATTCAGGAACTAGTTTCATTGTATTCATAAAAGCCTATTAAACTTTGTAGGACTATTATTAATTATTGCAAGGCTAAATCTAACAGTACCTCATCTGTGTGCCTTTATTGTAAAGAGTATGTACATAATTTTAAATATTAATCTCAATGTCTAACAGCAAAAAATTAACTTGATCATATGGTACTTATGGATTGCTGGAGAGAAGGTGCGATGTAATGCCAAAAGTCGCTTTAACTGTCTCTGATAAGTAGCGGAAGTAAAATGGTAAGGAATATTTTTTAAATTCTTTTATTTGCCTTCTTTAGTTTTGTTAATATAGTTTCGAAAAATGTGCTAATATTTTGAAACTCTCATCTGCTCAACTAGTAGATGTAGTTGCTTTTCTCGTACATCCTACACTCATTTTTTATTAATTAAATTGTTTATAAATTGGTCTAGGAATATGCATCTTACAACAACCGAACGTACATCCTGTCATTTTTATACCATGTTTGACATGATACTGTGGATGGTGTAAAAATAAGAAGTAATTTTTGTAAAGCAAAACACTCAATTTGTGCAAGCCAGATTTACATGAGAAGAACTAGAGAGTACGTGAAAAAATTGTCTTTGAAAGTAGCAAATGCATACTAAATTTGAGATCTAAATAAGCAAAACTATACATTAAAAGCGTTCCTATTTTATAGACTAAATCTGTATATAAACTTAATTTATAAAAACTGGACTAATGGAACAAGTGTTTTGCATGTGAAAATATTTTTTTTTTAAACAAACTCAAACACTTCAAATACTTCCAGATTGAAAGCGTAGATTTATCAGTGGGAAACCAAATAATTTAAAATCAAAGTTTTCGGAACAAAAAATAATTATTAATAATTGTAACCCTGAAACACTCACTTAAATTGTAAGTTATTTTTTAGTCAGCGTTCGTCAACACTTTATTTACTAACATACAAAAATACTAAGCAACAAAATTAATCAAATAAACAAAAAAAGCCAACAAAATACGAGTAAACTATTAGATTGACATTCACTGGAGGATTTTACGCATGCTAGAACACTACTGGATTGGAATGAACCTTTATCAAAATTGAAAATTATAGTAGAAAAATAAACTCTGAAAAACAGGAAATTTGTACAAGGATGGGAAATTGTTTAAAAATATTATAGAATTCTGAATAATCTTTAAACTATATTAGAGAAAATTGTTGAAATCTGTGAAGCTTAATTGGCAAAGCACTACTGTCAAAGTAAAAATCTCTTAAAAAGCATATGCCAGAATTAGGCAAAAAAGTTTAAGAATTTTTTTTATTTCTAAGCCACTGGTCATAGCACATAATTCTGTTTGAAATAAAGCTTTGCTGCAAGAATCTGCAGGGTATTTTTACTTAAAATTATCATTTATTGAATTATACAAATATTATTTATGGAGTGTTTACTTTGATCCCATTTTCTGTTAAAAAGTAATTTAATCCTGCTTTTAAGGCTCCTTTCACTAGCTCTACCATCCCACAAATGATGGTTTCATATCATGTAAATTTTAACTCAGTTTGCAACATTATAAATGTAAAATTTAGCTTTTTAAATGATTTGGCCATAATTTTCTCAATTTTGCGAGGACTCAAAAATTGATCGAACGGTTTTCTAAACATTTCGAGGTATGGAAAATAGCACTTATCTGGAACACATGGTTTTTAGAGATCTGCCTTTTGAAAAAGTACATGTTTTTAATTAATTTTACTCATTGTTCGATATTTTCTCTAGTAGTCAGTAACCTTACATATCAACTTTTGCTAAAACGCCGTTTTTTATAAGAAAAATAACACTCATCAATACTCAAATAATAATTTTTGGGAAAACTTATGAACTCTGATTAAAATTTTTAATTTCACTTAAGTGTCCTTCTTTCGAATTTCCAGCTCAAGTTGCTTATTTAAATACTACATTTAACAATATATGGATCAAATATTATTGCATATCAGGTAGGTATTATATAAAATGTTCATCAATTTCTTGATCTCCAGATTCGACATTCCAGGACGGACTGTTCCTCATGATTTAACACACACTAATTACCTATTGCTCCATGAGTATCAACCTTGATTGAGAGGCGCTCCTTCAATATGATTAGGTGGAGTTCCTATTGTTTACGCTTTATCGATTTGAAGCGTTGAAAAATTTTATTATGTGATGAATTCATTGCTGGTGTCCACGCACATTTCTTTGCACGGTTTGTTTATTGAATTTAAAAATAGGCGATTGTTTACTTTCAATGGCAACTGAATATTTAACACATTCTTTCGAAGGATTCTTATTAGCATAATCTGCATAACTGATGGTAGATCGTGAAATAACACAGCTATTTATATTTTTAGTAGCAGTACTTTTCACCAACACTTGCAAACGCATCAATTGACTTGTTAAACTATTGAAAAACTGGAAATAGAAGTAATGGAAATAAAACGGCTGTTGAAAAAAATATATGTATTAAGTATATTACTTTCCTGAAGACAATGTGTATGAAATTAATGGACCTACAACGGCTAAACACTATAATTTCAATACAAAAGAATTTTCTTCCCCATCTTCTATGTTGTATCAGTAAGTGGCGTACACGAATTTTACAAAGGACGGCCAATTTAGGAGAGCAAACCACAAGTGCTTTCAGCCACTTGAACCGATAATTAAACATTGCTAAAATGCATTGAAAACCACAACACCTCATGTATTTGCTCCCTTGTACTAAGAGAACTGTAAACGGAAGGCAATTTATATCATTTAACTACCATTTCCTATAAAACTAATACTAACAAAAAGCGAAAAGCTTATCAGTTCGCAATATATGAGCTTATTGTACACTAGCCCACATTCCCCTAAACTAGCGGTGTGTCGATTTAAAAATAATACCTGCAGTAAGTAAACAATAAAAATAAATAAAGTGACATACAAATACTTAGTGACTATGAGCTGCTATAAATAGTTTAAAAATATTTAAGAACTAAATAAGTAACAAAGTACATAGAGGGCAGAGAACAATGAAAATTCTAACTAATAATCCTGTAGGTCTTTTATTTAGTATATGTAATACAGCTAGAGATCACAGACTTGTTAAGGCACCTAGCGTGTCTGCAAAAGTGATTGCATGAAAAGCCGGTACCATTTTGTCAATTCTTTTATCAAGAACGACAAAATTAGCTTTTCAGAATCACCATCCCTCTAGCCGAAATCATAACTTAGTTTTGTAAGTACCATTAACTTCTTCCATTGGCATATCAGGCGAATATCCCGCATTAACAGTTCCACTTTTAACATTGTCCTCGTCTTGCTTCGTACTATTGGCCAATTGCGAACTATTGGAACTTGTGGCTAAATTGGCGGCAGTGGATCCACTTCGCTTCATTTTCCTCGTGGAGTCCTCACGTTTGCTCACATATTGACGCTTCTTGCCAGGGAAATAGTCTGCCATCTTCCGGGCCCAAGGGTGAATCAGTTCTTCGTCATATAGATCGCTCTCGCTGGCCGTAAAGTAGGACACCGTCCATCCAACCAAGACGGTAATGATGCATCCAAGGAAGGAGTAGTACATGTAGGTTATTGAGTATAGAGCTGTTAGAGGGTCTCTGTAAAAGAGGGTAGCATTGGTAGCGAAACATTGGGTCTGGATGCGCTCCTACTTTTTGAGTCCAAATATTGCAAACTGTTCCTCCTAATGCACGCTTGTAAATTCCTTGAATGTAATGACATTATTTGTGTTAAAGAAAAAGTTTTTCCGTGATTGGGGGCATGTTGACCATTACGAGTTGAAAACATTGGAGCCACGATTAATTTGGGGAATAAAGTGAAAAGAGCTATAAACTGTTAACATTTGTGTAAAAGAAGGGCAAAGAAAAAGCTAAATGGGTCAGCGATTATCTCAGCCTAATAAGAAGTATGAAGAAAAATGAGAAACCAACACATGGATATGGTTATTTATGGCCGGCTGGCCTTTTGGCTGCGCGAAAATAAATTAATTTCATTTTTCCCCAGAGAAAAAGTAAAAAAGATAAGGGCTCTAATTAATTTAGTTTCGTTTTATGCCGAATAATTTATGATACTTTAGGTGGCGAAACGTCGGCAATAATTCTTTTTTTTATTTGCAAAGACACATTTAATTATTACATTTAGAAAAGTTCATTCACGTTAGGCTTGAGATGAGCTTTGGCAAAAAAGCCTCAAAAGGTTCGCCCGAGAAAAGCCAAGGAAAATAGCGACATTTTCAGAAAGCGGCTTTCTGGTCACCTTCATCTATTAAACATATTTTAATACTTACAGTTTTTCAGCTCTGGTTGTGTTCAAAGGAGCAAGTGGATCGTTGTAGATGGTAAAAGGTGATGGTGTCGTAGTGGGTGTCCAAGAAAGTGCCCGATGTTCTACTTTCAAAATATGATCGTTGAATGACGAGTTTGAACATCCATCAATATTCAACGGCAGGCTCTTTGCTGGAGGTTTGTCGACAGTTAGACCTCCGAATGTGATCCAGAGGATGATAATGTGTCCCATTATTACTCCAGCAGAAGCTCCCTGGAAAAAAATATTTGCACTTATTTGACGTCAACAACTGTAATGGAAACAATAGTTCTGTATTGAAATATCAGGTCAAGCAAATATGTACATTGGATAATGGAGCAGCGAGCACTGAAGATATTGATTGCTTTAATGGAGAGTGGATGATTTCGACATTTGAAAGCATAGTGAATCTAGTCGACACCCGAATGATCATCGCTGAATGGAAAAACTATTCTCAAAAATCAAAAGCACGATTTTATGACTTGTGTTAAAATCCTGTAAACCTGCGCGTCTCTGGATGGAAATCGTCTAAAAATCAACGAAAGCTAGAGAGTTTTTTGAGCGTGCAAGCCACCGTGGGAAATACATTACGTGTAATATTTTGAGTCACTTGCTTCCTCATGCTTACACTAAATTGAAGCCTGATAATGCAGTTGATACATATTAGAAGATGAAGTTAAACGATTTCGGAGAGTATTGAAGCTGTCCGTGCATTAAAGGTTTGATAATTTCACCAAAAAATAGGTTCCTACGGACAGTGGAAGAATATAAAAGAACATCCTTTGCTTAAAGTATATTGACTCAAATGGATCAGATTCATAAATATGTAATATGCATAATTGCATAAAATAAAGCAGGAGCAAACACAATTTCTAAAATGTTTTACTCCGTACTGCGTTTCCAGATAAGAACAACCGTTTAGGTCACAAAATAAATATGTTTAAGTGCACTAGAGCCAGACTTAAAAAATAATCAAGCGAGAACTTGACTACGAAACGCTAATGGTTATTTACCCTGCTGCTTTACATATGCTGGTTCTGTGGAATGATGTTAATTAAAAGCCTAGAAACTAAACAACTAGCCGACTATTTTCTGACGAAATTAAATAGATTGCGGAGCGCCAAATCCAGACTTTCGCCCTGATTAAAAAACGTGATGTTTGCTATGCTAATTTCGCGGAAAACATATCCAAAGTTTTAATACAATTAATTTACATATTAATTAAATTTGTCCAAGTGCCAGTCACGTAAGCATTACATCAATTAGATTAAATGCCCTTTATTAGCGTTTTTATGGAAATGTGCCGCAATGCGTTAGAAAAAATTATATACCTTCAGTCTAGTTGGGCAGGTGGTGCGGCATTACCTAAACATAGAACACTGCAATGGCATGTGTTGCAAAGTGGAAAGTTTAGTAGAATAAGTTTCAATCTGATTAGGGAGATACAAAACTGAATCCGGACTACGAAGAGCCCCTTAGCTGACCAGTTTATTGCCTACGGCCAGTTTTCTACATACAAGTTTCCGATTGCCAACAACCGCCGGACTCTGCAAAACTCTTCATTCCAAGTTTGCGAGGACTGTCTGGAATGAATTTTACAACAGCACTTAAACTGGAATATTTCCAACATACAACGGAATTTTTTGGATTTGCAAACTAACAGATAAACCACATTTCAGCTGCAAAGCTAGATAAGACAACATTATTGTGAATTGTTTTCTTTTTGATCATCTGCAATCGGAGCAGGCTAGAAATTGTTAGCATCAACATATTATTGGAATTTTAAACGTAAAACCACATTTACCGTGATGTAGAATATTCTCTAGTAGTCACCACTGCCCAGTGAATTATTGAAAAAACTACCTCAATCTTTTCATAGAGGAACTGAGACTTCTGAGATTTTGATACATGGAATCGATACTGGGTGTTAAGCAAATGGTGATTTTCTGTCTCTCACGATTTCTGTTCAATGACATATTATACAGAAAAATTAATTTTTCCCTACAACCAATTTTAGTTGGCTTCAATTCATGTCTAGTGCTTTCCAGTTTTTCTCCAGTAGTCGACCATTTTCATTTCTTGCTTGCAACTCTAGTCTTTTTTCGCAGTTCAACTATAAACCTGCATATGTTTGCTTATCGAACCCATAGTTGTGTACCAACAAAAACTCAGTTCAAAAATAAACATTTGGTAAAATTGTGTTTGCTTAAAAGTTATAAATACCCGCTGCTAATGCTTCCGTTGTTGTATGATGAGCAGTTAAAACAGAAATAAAGAAGCAGTCGCATTTGCGAAAATGATAAATGAGTTATTGATTTTGCTTATAACCAGAGCATTGCAAGTGACAAATCCTATAACGCCTGTTCACTGAAAAAGCGACACAACTGTTTAAACCTTCTGCTCTAACAATAAAATCAGACAGCAGTGCACACATGCGGGAATATTTAAGTTTATTTAACTGAAAATCCGCTTGATCTACAAATACCGTAATACTGAAGTTCCTGTGAAACGAGAGGAATTTTATCGATGCCGGGAACATTTTCCAAGGATGGAGATCAAGCTGCTGGAAACATTTGATGAAAAATCAGCACAGAACTTTCATACAGTTTTTGGCTAGTGGGATTATGCGTCTTAGATCTAGTGGAAATCAGCACGTGCAATAGATGAAGGAAGTATATCACCTCCATTCAAGGCTCTACATATTCAGGCTTGAAGGGATTAAATTGCGGAATAGAATAGAACAATTCGCCATTTATATCTAGCAGCAAACCAGTTCCACGATTGATTAAATCCGAATTAGATTGATTGCCCTTTGAAACGCGCGAATCATTTATGCAATTAGGAAGTTAAGATTAATCAGACCAAGAAATTTGACTATGTATATTCAAGCTGGTGCGCCGGTTGTTGCCTCGGGCAACTTTGGGGACACATAATTTACAGGGTTATGCTTTAATCATTAACACTGTGCCGATGTGAGTAGGCTGCTCATCAGGTATGGAGTTACGTAACTCTCTAAGCTCGGTGCTAGTTTCCTTTTCAAATCGTATTTGCTATTCAAATTCAAATGTTTTATTGTCGGGAGATTTAGGAATTGAAAAGCTGCCTGTAGCAATTTCACCCTTTTGGATAAGCGAGCAAATATGTGCCAAATTGCTTCAAGACAAAGTGGGGAATCCTGTTTGGGCGGAAAAGTGTTAAGCATTATTAGTTTGTGTTATATTTCCGAAAAATTATAATTCAGTGCGCATTTTGCACTTTGAAATATAAAAATCCAAGATCTCTAAATGAATAAAGCAAACTAACTGAAAGTTTTTGCTCGAAATCTGAGCACCGATAAGACGTTTTCCTGTTTTCTCATTTTTCCAAGTTGATGCGAAAATCCTCTAAGTAGCTTACAAGCTTTGAGCTACCGCTGCGGGCAACATCTTCAGTCGATGTATGCATTACAGATTGATGCCCTTGTTTAGCCTAAATCACTCAGTTATTCACTTACATTTTCTTAATACTTTTAAAGAAGTCAGGTTCAACAACACGTTTTTTTCCGGTAAATTGGTGATTATAAAGGGCTGCTCTTTATTTTTTTGTTTACTGTATTAACGCTGCAAACAAAGAAATTTGCAGGAATAATTGTTCGTCGTTTTCCCTCAACCAAACGTTTCTCTTATACCAACTCGATCATTTTGCGTCACTGAACAGAACAAGTTCCATTTTGATTTAAAATAAAAAGAGTAAACATACCTTCCAATTGGCCACTGGGATAACTAAGGCCATAATGAAGACACCAAGTAGAGGTCCAGACGTGGCCGAAGTTACCAACATAGAAGATTCGATCACACCTTCCAGCAGGCCGATTCCAAAGGAAATGCCCATGATAATCAAGGCAAAAACTACTCCAATGAATTTGATGCTCCATAATTGCCTGGAATCGTTCATCCCTTTCAGGCAGGGTAGAGGACGGACGAAGTCCTCAAATGCCACTGTTGCCAAAGAGTTCAAATTTGATACATTTAAACTAAAAAAATAAAACAAAGGGTTAGATTTATTTGGAAATCAGATTGAGTTCTGTTGAAATTGAATCGATAAAGTTTCGTAGTGGAGTTTTGTTTGCAGTGATCAACTGAAGAAAGTATTGTAGGCCAGAACAGTAAAACTATACAATAACAGTATTTGCCTCAATTAAACTAAGAAAATTTAAAGGCGGATATGAGATGAACAAGGCTAATGGCTAAATGCCAGCAATAGAAGGAGTAAGCATGAAATTTCGTTTGCTTTGCTAATTTGCTTTTGCTAATGCTTTTGCTTTTTATAATTCACGCATTTATGGGTTTGCGCGCACATTCCTTCCCAGCAAAGAAATTATTTTTTTAATTTCGAGCTGTTAATAATATACGCAAACTGTAATTATAGACAGAATTAGTCACGGTTGCCTAAAATCAATGCACTTCATTGCTTAGTGTTGCTGTTCTCCATCATTGTAACTGAACATTTGCATAGATTGGAATTTTTTTATCGTATTAAAGCAAAACAAAAATTCATCAATATTCGGAAACGTTTGCAAATCAAGCTGTTATTTCTAAATAAAATCGAAAGTGATTTGAGTGAAAGCTTCGCGACACTAAAAGCAATTTTCTGTCAAGCGTGAACGAAACCTAAAAATGGAACTCGGTTCTAGTTCCAAGGCTGGAAATAAAAAATGATCTTTAGGGACGGCAGAACCTAAATCACTAATAGGTCTCCTCGGAATTATATAACACCTTTCGCATTGGTATCGAGTGAGGCCATTTTAACTATTGGCAATTTATTCATCTAATTTATGGCAAAAGAGTGGCGTTCGAGGTGATTTACTAAGCCATATTTTAAAGTGGCAAAAAACTTTCAAAATTGGTTTAGAAGAAGGCAACACTTTCTGAAATAAAAAAAAACAACATAAACTATATGTGAGGCATTATTAATCATTTCTAGCCGGGAAAGGAAAAGTGTTCTATACTTTCTAGACCATAGAAGGCACTTTTCCAATTCTTGCTCGGGAAATTTATAGTTGGATTCAGAACAAAAAGAATCGGTTGGAGTTTTCTAGACTTTATCCATTATGTGCCAAAAATGTATTGATAAGATATGAGCGATTAATCCGCTCGCTTATTTTGATTAATGAAAACTGGATCGCGGCAGTTCCAACTATTTGTGGGAGATAAAAATAAGAATTTAACTTAAAGTAATAGTTGTTTTCCCATTCGGGACAAATCGATAGTAAATTCTAACTACTGTCTACACTCAAAAGGTCATAAAGAAACGTTTGACGAGACTAACAACAAAACATACTCATACATACATAATACATGATCTATGTTGCTCAAAACATACAGGGATAAAATCGTCTGGGCAAGCAACTATGAATTTATATATTTACATAATACAATTTGTGTAAGATTAAGAGCGGTTTGCAATTTTTTAATCCACTTTATCCAGCCATAAACCGTGGGTTTGCGACAAAAATACTAGTCATACTGCAGTAAGCGATTTTTTTAATTGTTTACACAGGATGTTTTAAACCGCCATTGCTCATCGCATAAAAAATCACATTTTACTAGGAAAATTGTTATTAGGATACATTTACATTTAATGTTTTCAATCCAAAGTTGAATGCTTAAGTACTCTTGTAAAAATATCTTCTTGTTAGAAGTTTGATCAACTGATTATGGAAATGGAATAAATCGGTTTATTTGCTGACTTGAAGGAGGATTCTTATTACATAAAATCATGAAAATTCGTTATCAACTTCGAAAGCTATACTATACAGAGTTTAATGTGCACTATACAATGCAGTGTTTAAAAGATAAGGATTTAAAAGAAATAAACACATTTCATCGTCCATTGAGTGCCTAAAACGACCCTCTGTTGAATCAGTTGAATTTTGTACCGCGCTTGTATTCGGAAATGCCCTTAAAGGTTTTATTCTCATTTTTTCATCACCCTGGAATCATCGCCTCGTTTAGAACCCGAAAAGCTTCTAAAATCATAACTTGAATAAAATGTGTTTAAACTTCTACCTCCAGAAGAGATATTCTTCGTTTGTTCGTCGCATTAGACTGGCGAAGATCGCTTGATAAAAGCAATGCCTTAAAAATTGCAAGCATATTTTTCAAAGAGGTAAATGTTTGGCTTTCTTAAGGCCATATAAACGATTTTCCCCTTATTCAAAAATCAATTTTGCAAATGTTTTCAGGCAAAATCAAATTCGTTTAGGGTGTTCATTTGCAGCAGAAACGACATTTCTTCTTTCTCGCTTGAAGCTCTCAGATACCCATTGCATTACGATAAAATTGGCAATAAGTTTTCGTATTTGTACGCAAATAATTTATAGGCCTTCCGGGGTAGGAAATGATGCCATGCAAATATAAATCTGAAAAATTATCACCATTAGCCCTTCTACATGCATTTCATTTTATTTCTTAAGCCTGCCATATCCTTAAATTTGCCTTTGCATTATCAACAAAGCAAAACTAATGAAAACGAATGCCGTGGACTTACCTGAGAGCACCGTTGAAGAGACTGGCCATAAATAAGCCCAAGATCCCTGGCAGATAGCTAAATCGGTCCTCGACGAAAAATGGCAAAATTTCGTCATATTTCTTGATGTATCCTGATGTTAAAGGATCGCAGCTGGAGTAGACGGCATATACGACCATTCCCACTACCCACGATAAACTGAATAATACTGTTATTACGGGAATGTTGTACATCAGAGTTCTAAAATGGAAAGAAAAACATCACTTTTTTCATAAGGCTCAACTTCCGCCTAAACTGCTTCTCTGCCTACCGTGTAATTTAACAACCCCACTTTTATGTTATTCATCTCCAAGCCCATATATAACTCTATATATGTTGTTCTCAGTGAAATAAAACAATTACAATATAAAATGTTTTGCGAAAAACACAAAGTTCTTAATAAACAACAAACGGAGGGACAAAATTTTAATATTGACTAAACCAGGGCTGGGGAAAAGTTCGTTTATTCAAATGCTTTTTTCAAAATTTCCGATCTCAACGATTTTTGTCGATCCGTGATCAATTGCTGATCGACACTCTGAATGCGAAACAAGCTGTTAAACTGTGTCTTTGAAAAACCACCGCACCGACAACGTTTTCGGCTTTCGCTCTGAAAGGGTCCATGGAAAAATTGGATTATTTTCCGGCTTCCATTTACATAAACCGACGCAAATTGGGAAAAGGGTTAAACTTCGAACGGTAAAAATAGCTGACGATAAAATTATGCAAATCAAAGATCAGTTTTGACCTCACTGTTATCAACGTGGGAGTTGTTCATTGCAGGTTTTCCACTTTTATTATTGATTGTAGTGAAGGCATTTCTTACCGCGTAACTTTTTTCTGCGAGTCCATGCTGCAATATCTCTGAACGAAATTCTGCTGGCATCCAAAAATTGAAAGTGACATGAAAAGTTGCCCGATTAAGGCAGATGTCGTAGTCACTCGGACTGTTGGATCCAAATCCCAGCTGAAACCAATAATTAATGTTTAATTAGTGTTGCAAATATTCAGACATTTCCGCTAGTGTTACGAGCTGTTAAATCCAATTGCAAATATGGTGCACGATCTGGCTCTTCCAAAGTTATGAACTTCGAAAGTTATTGGTTAATATCAACAAAACCAATAAATTACGCCGATCTAGCAAGCAGGAATTTCCCTAAATAATTTGCATGCTATTTTGGTAGATATGTTCCGAGATGGCTGCGCTCAGACGAGCAGTTTTGATGCAAAGTTGCAATTTCTGGAATTTCACCATTGCGTATCATTACCGGATAAATGGGTCCAACAATGTTGATATTTTTAAGGTATCCAGTCAACACTCTCCATCTATTAGCCAACCAAGAATTTTTCTTCACTTCTGATTTTAAAACATGTAAATTTCCTCGACTTCTGTCTGTTTCTGTTTCGGTAAACTTGTGATGATTATTTGCCTCAACGTAAATCAGACTTTGGAAAATTTAACAGTCTAATGAGACAAACTTTGAGACATGTTGCCTTTTAAATAGAAAATTGAATAGAAATTTTTTTATGCATATTAATGAACTTTTCTACAGTTGGGCGATTTCTTAATAAGCAAACTCAGAAAATCCAACACATCCATTGTTCCAAATGGCCGTTCAAATGATAAAGTCGCCACTAAAATAGAAGTCAATTTACAAAAATACCAACTTCCATCATTTGTGTGCGGATTGATTGGTTGGCCTAGATTAGATCTACCATTAAAAAGTTAAATTGCGTACATCCATAGGGGAAAATGATGAAAGGGGCAACGAATTGAAGTTAGATTACTTGCATGAAATGCAAATAACATTTAAACGGCTCGTATTGTTTGGGCTACTCGCACTACACTTGAACTTTAATTTAACATTTCGTGGATTTTTGGAAACATTTGAACCACAGGACTATAATTCACTCTGCAGCTGTTTCTAAAGGTTCCAATATCGTTTCCGTACCTAATGCATCAGCTAAAGTTTGTGTATTCAATCAATAAATTTTAATAACTACCTCTTAAGCTAGCTAAATTCAAAAAAGCACGTTTCTTAACTAATTGAATTCCGATCAAATTTCGGCTTAACTCAAAGCGGACTGAGAGGCAAAACATTTTTAAAGCCAATAAGCTAAATTCAATTAATAATATCCATATCCATGCTGGACTGATTTCACTTCAGGTTTCGAAAGCAACAACATACGCAAATTTGTATGTAAGTCTGTAATTCTTTGGAGCAATTCCAAATCCGCACGGAATTAATAAATTGCTGGCTTGCTATTAGTGGACTTTGGACTATTCATTAGAAAAATAATCAAAAAGCGAGTTGTTGAGTAGTAGTTTAATAAACGGATGGTACTCAAAGGGTTCTTAGTTATTTGATTCGTAAACAGATGCAATCATTGTTTTTTTTGTCGAAGCACGCAAACGAAGAATTACTCTTAACAAGAGATAGAAATAAAAACGAAATGAAAATTTATCTTTGAAAATTAAGGAATAAAAATCACAGAGCATGCACTAAGTGATAGAACAGTTCGAACCAATGCCATTATGAACGTTTGCTCCTCAAATGAATGAAAGTATTGTTTATAGTTCTACTTGTATATCCATTATTTGATCGTATTTTCTTATTGATACTGCGTTTATAATTATTTATGCCTAACTGAATTTCTCTATTATGGGTCATTTGACGCTTTTACAAAAGTTATCTTATTCTGTCCGCATTTCAGTGCGCCCACTATGAAAACCCTCTTTCAGTTTCGATTTCACATCCCTTGCCTTTTGAAAAATAATGGCACTATGCTTAATAAACGCTCTTCGTAAATCATATTAAAGCTCAACTAAGGGTGTAGAGGATGCATAGAAGTTTTACGGAGTTTTGCAGGCAAATATTGCACCTCATTAATGCCAGCCCTTAGTTTAGTTTTGAACTCAAATTAAAAAAGTATTTGTCAGAAATGGTAGGAGATATCGAGTAAAAATATATAAAACTTTTAGGCATATTTTAACTTCTTTAAGAGAGCAACGTCCAGGTTGTTATAATTAAGGCCCAGCCTTAAAACTTCCGCAAAAACTCGCATTTTTTCCCACGAAAACAGCCTTTCGGTCCAAAACAATTCATTGCTTTCGCTTTTCTAATTTCCGCTTCAAGATGTAATCTCTATGTGCTCTTGCTGCTTCAGACTGGACGGGGATAATTTTTTGATCCTTATCACTGACAACATCGGTTGATTAATGGCATTTAAAAAATGATTGCTATTTATATTGAGCGAGAAAAGTTTGCTGTCGGATGGCCCGAACAGTGTAATCTCGTCGAAGCTGCTTAAAGTTTGATGGATGTTTGGAACTAAATTTGTTATGAGATGTGTAGGGTTTTGTAACTGCAGGGACTGGAGAACCTTCTTTTAACTATCTATGTTTTAATGAAATTGAATAAATCACGAGCATTGCAATATTCGGGTGATAAATGTACTTACTTGAAAAAGTCCAAACGTCCATCTTTTTTGCTGATATTAAAAACGTCTACAAATCCGCCAGCTTCCACACATCCCTGGATAATGATGGCCACACTAATCGCTATCATGGTTAGTCCTTGCATAACGTCGGCAAGAATTGCGGCTTTTAATCCTCCCTACAACGATAAAGTTGCTGGTAAATAATTCCAGCTTGTTTAGTCTGGATTGTTTGATATAGCCAGACTTTAGCCCTAGGTTATTAAATAATGCGGTGCATCAGAGTCTGTGGCTTGTGCATGGAGAAATTTGCTAGGGACATCCTAAATGCGCGAACAGGATAGGAATTTTGCATAATTATTGGTCCTTGGGCAAAGTATGTGGTCGAGGAATAATTTCGCTTTAAATGCAAGCATTAGTCAAGTTCGGTTTGGGGAAGCACGTGAGAATCGCAGATAAAACCACTGAATTGTTTTCGCGTGATAGCGCTGTGATCACAGTCAATTTAACTTTGATTGTTTGGTAAATGGAAGATGTTTAAAAATGCCCTGAAACAGAGGTTGCCTTACTAACTAGTCTCGATCACGAAAGACCCTCAAAAGTAAAGGAAGCAGTTTCTGGGTTTACATGTTCGTAGCTGAACAAGTCTGGGAATGTGAAGGTTTCACTTGGGGATTTATGCGAAGTTTCTCCTAAACTAAAGTGATGAAATAATGCTTTGATTCCGGTCACTGCTGCTCTTTTTTCTCGCTTTGATTTGTATTGTTGATGGCTTCCGAGTGAAATGTGAAGTTTTCGATTTTTCTTTAATAGAAAGGGCTCACTCACTGGTGAAATATTGCGCCGCAAACCTTTCAATAAAAACGCGTCAATCTGACTGCCTGTGCATGTCTTCGAGCGAAATGTCACCTCTGTACTCGATATTGAAATTCTTCGTTGCGTTCAATAGTCTTTTTGGTATCGCATTCGGCGAGCTTGTTTTGCATGAAAACTTTGACTGCAAATCCGACTTTATTGCCGGATATCGTCATTTTGAAAATTGTCCGCACAACTTGACTTACCAGAATATTAAATATGATGCTCACTCCCGATATTCCAACTATCGAAGCCCAATAGGGTATTCCGATAACAGTGTTCAAAGCCACACATGGCGTGTAGACAGTTACGCCTTGGTTGAGAAGCTGTCGAACCACGTAGGTTCCTGATGCCAAACACCGAACCAGTCTTGACTTGAATCTCATATCCAAATACTGGTAGACTGAAGTGATACCCAAACTGAAGTACACAGGAACAAACACAAAACATACTATGGGATAAGCCAGAACCATTCCATAGAGCGTTTCCCACATCGCACTGCCTCTGTAAAAGAGCTCAGATGGATAACCTGAAAATTAAAAACAAAACGATATTAAATTGACTGTCAACACTTTATTCTTATAAAGCATCTTAAACAAAATTCTATCAAATGAAAGCTAGACTACAAGCTTTGGGTTTCTTTCGAATTTCAATTTTCTTTTTTATGGTCAATTTTCAGATCATAATCTTCAATTCCATAATCCCATGTGCGTTGGTAAATCCAAAGCCCAAATAAAAGTCTTAGTCAACCCAAACGGTCATAACACAGATATAAAAGGGCAATATATTTCTAAAGCGCAGACAATAATGCGGTAATAAAGACTTTAAGGTTTGTAAACAGACCTAACCATTGTTTACTAGCGTCTAGTTTAATATTAAATTGCCCATTTCTATTCTTATGGTCGTTGGTGAGCTTGAATGGTATATATTTGAGCAGTTTCGGTTTAATTAGATTCTCTGTTGGTGCTTGGGCTCACAAAAAGCTGCTTTAGATTTTCATGCACTTTTTAAAGGGAAACCCTTGACTAAACTCCAGTTTCTGAGTACCGATTTTGGAAAATTAGTGGTGAAATATAAAATTTACTTTATTATACTCTTATACGATCTGGATCGTTTAAATAAATCCGCAATATCAACCTGAGTTCATATTTCCTAATCTGCGTTTCGCCAACAACATAAACAAAACTTCTGGATCAAAAATAGACTGTGTCCTTCCATGCGGTTATTTATAAAAACACTCAGGAATTAATTCTTCGAATACTTCCATATTTACGGCACGTGATTTGTCTGTTTGTTATCGAATTAGATGGTATTTTTGGGGAAAATTTCTAACACAAAATTTTCGTTCTATTTACCTTATTTACCAACAGATTTTGGGAAAATTTAGTCAAGTATCTAATAAATATGGTTCGGTTTGGAAAATTGCACATGATTTGCTGATAAAAACATAAAAGAAAGCATCGGCACGTTCCAACATTAAAAATAATCGATTTTTATTCCCTTCCTTGCAATTTTATTTTTCCAGTTTGTCTGCCTTGGCTAATTCGGCCTAATTAATTTGTCTAGATTGAAATCGCTATTATAATGCAGCTCATTTTTCCGTTAAGGCCCTAATAAGTAGTAATTTGTGGTAAAATTTTACTTACCCAGGAAAGATCGCACTCCTAATGTTCCTCTGGCTATACTCAGCATCATGGCTGCAGTAGAGACTTTTCCAGCTGCAAACACATAATCGGCTTTCGTTTTCTCTTTGGGTCCAAAGAATCGAGAATATACGGCTACAAAGGTACTTGCAAGCACAAATATCACAAAAACCAAGTAATCCCATATCATAGAACTCGTGTCTTTAGACATCTTGGCAAATTTCGGTGGATTTCTTGTGTAAGTCCGTTATCACTGCTTTTCTGAAACAATACCAAAAATTTCGTATTTATACACAATAATTCCTCAAGCTGGGTTCAAATTCGGCTTTTTAAACAAGTATTTCTACTTCAGTCCCTTTATTACAATTTACCATCAAATATTGGAATTTAATGTTATAATTTTCAATGAAATTCTAAGTGGTTTAGCCAGTCTATGAATAGAATTTCTATTAAAGATCAACAACTGATCTAAATTATAATTACAGATCAAGAACAGTCATTGAAAATGTCGAAAAAATAACAAAGTTTCTAGAAGTACTTCCTCACAACTTTATAAAAGTAATAACAACACAATAAATAATTGCTGAAAAAACCATTTAAGTTGCTTCCCGCTTTGGGTCGTATCGTCAGCATTTTAAAAAAGTTTCATAAAGAAATGGAATATCTTATAAATAGATCTTAGTCAGGTTTCTAGCACACATAAATTATCATTGTGTTTCTTTTCGAAAAAAACATAGTTCCTTAATAATTTGTTCGGGGTTGAAAAATGATTTTAAAAAATATTCACTTTTTTGATTATATTAGAAATATATTCTGCTCTAGGATTAAATACTTTTGTAAAAAGATTTAAAATTTCTAGAAACTCTTTTTTGGGATTAAAAATGTTTTTCTAAATTTCGCAAAAAATTTATTTTGCTGTTTAGCGCTGGAAAATTAATCTAAATTCACTAAAGTAGCACACACAATAACTACGGTTCGATGAACAACTTTTTAGCTAAGCGGAATAATTTAGATATATTGCCTACCTGATATCTAAAGTCTACTAGAACATAAGTAAAGTAAATTTCACTTCCGAATATATTTAAATATAATTTTGTGGCTCAGGGATTTCAACAGGCAAGCTTTCTTATCTCGATACAAATATGCATTTTAAGCGTATAAGAATTAATGAAACAATTTGTTCAAACAACAGCGCGACCATCCACTGAATCAGGAGAACTTAACGTGAAATGGATTAGTTCAATAGAAAATTAAAAGCTATTTTCGTTATTTGCTTTCTGTTGACGCACTATCAAGATTTAATTACTATTTACTATATGTTCATGGCCAGCACACTATTTTCCACGTTCTTTCATACTGCTCCAGCCGCTTATCTTCTTGTGTTCTTCTTAAATTTACATTGGCTTAGACTATTGATTACATTTACAACTTTAGCTAAATTCATCAGATTATTATTGCACTGCTTCAAACTGCATATCAGACGACCCTGTATTTAATAACATTTATTTAGATATTTACATTCATCACGTGCAGATCTCATGTAGATTTGCAATTTTGAAAATGAAGCACGTAAAGGATGAGGTGTGTAATAGCTGATTAGTATATGCACGTTTTCTAGTGTAAGCATACGAGTAATTTCTTTAGCATTAGTTTTATTTAACAACGGATTAAATCAAATGGGAGTCTGCAAATAAAGGAAATTTGACAGTGCAGTATGATAAGGTTCCTTTATAAACTATGACAAACATATAAATTCAGTCAAGTATCGCAAATCCCGACGAAATAACATTTTTAGTGTCTGAATTTACTATTCGAGAAGAAAACACTCAGACAGTAGCAATGTGATGTTAAATATACACTAAATCAGTAAGGCAGGTGAACATGCAGGAAGCAAATGGAAATGACTCAAAGTTGGCGAGCTATCGGCACTAGTGAGAAAAATGGTTATTTTTAATATTTTCTTGGCTCATTATCAGGCAGTTTCTCATGATTGGGTATTAAGGAAATAATGATTCGATATTTTGAGTCAGGACAAAGCCTTGCTGTAAATGTATACCGAAAGCTGCTTTCTAGGAACTTTTGGGTTAAAACAGTGCAAACTTTTTCATTTTGTTGGTGTGTTGTTCTCTGATTGGGTGTCGAAACTATAAAGACTAACGATCACAATGTGCTGGGATTGAATGGTTATCATTAGTTAGTTTTAGCACCAAAATACAGTGCCAGTCTCCAACATGGAATAAATTCAGTAAAACAAAGATAAGGGTTTTTGGAGACATGCTTGGATACACTCAGGTTTTAAAAACTTTGATCCTGGTCAATAATTGTCCATAGGCTTTAAATTCGGACACCTGAGAGGAGTACAGAGACATATAAATGGGAGATGCGATTATTTTGTAGGAACCTGATGGATCTACTCAGATTATCGGTTTCATCCAGATCAGAAAACAGATCTTTCAAATTTGGAACTAGTTCTTTCTGCAATAATTTTAAATATCCCGATCCATTCAGATTTTGTTGGAATTCTTTTACCACCGACAATTTCTACTCAAAATATGACTGGATTTGAGTATGGTTTCCATCTTTCAGAGTTAATTGTTGTTTGACCAATAACCACGATTTCATTTTAATATAATAATATAATCATCAGAAAACAATAAGTTTTCTTCATTGTTCACAACATTTATGGCTATTAGATTCATTATTTGCTTGTGAAACTGTGGTATTTTATTCGGATCATCTTCGGTCAAAGCCTCAAGGCTTGTTATTTCATAAGGATGACATTTTTGGGTTTTGTAAATTCTCGTCACTGAAGACTTTCGAATTCGCTATAAATGTGCCGCCTGGCGACAGGAGAAGTTTCTTGAACAGAGTGACGTATTAATTTTTTAATTTTTCTTAAATCACGATTATTCTATTCTGTTTTCCACCTTGTTTATGGCACTGGGCGATATGGGTGGTAAATTTCTCTGAATAAATGGATTAGTTGATTTCGTGTTCTTGTCGCATTTCTGCAGATAGTTACTATTAAAGTTTCAGTTAAGTTTGGTATTTTCGTCGATTTTTAGAAAAACTCTGTTTTTCTTGGACTAGTATATTGTTCTTTCTTGTTCCAAACTATCAACATCAACAAATTTTAACTGAGAAAGTTACAGGAACTGTATCATAGTTTATTTCTGAACTGCATTTTTATGCAGTTCAAAAATGTCTTTCACACTGTTTTTAAGTAATTTTATCTTAATTTTGTAAAATTTTTTGAAAAATCAATACATAAATCAACTGAACTACTGCAAATTCCAGAGCCTGTTAACACGCTATTAATAATTTCACTTTATTATTGAATAATATCCATTCTTCAATATAATGGAGCTGATTTACATATCTTCATCTGTAAATATGCGTCACACGTTTGACGAGCTTTTAATTGTTTCCATACGTATGTCTATAAAAACGCATGTACGCTGTAGCTTTATACAAATATTTAATGAGAGCGATGTTGGTTTAATTTAACATGTCTTTAGCCGCCAACAATCAGAAGGTTCAACTTAATAACGATTATTCATTTCAGTAAAATTAGCTTACCATTAAAGATTGAATTTGGCACCTTAAGTAGTTACTATCACAGAAAAGAAAACACTGCTGCTTCGACATGTGGGTTTCGAATGAGGAAAAATCTTTACGCTCTCCTTAAATTAGATTTCCCTATACTGCAGACTAAACCTATATTGTTAATTTATTGATAAAATTCAGGCTTTTTCACGTGAATAATTTACGACATCGATTTAGCAAGTATTCAAATATTGATTGTTAATTTTCCTATTGAATTTGCCTAATTTACGGCAGGGATTTTAAAAATTTTTTTAATTGTTCGTGACCAATTGCACGCGGATTGCCGACAGTGTTCCGTTCCCCCATGTAATAAAAGTTGAAACATTGACGTTTTATCTGAAAGGAAACTTTAGAGCATCGCAGGAACTATTCTTATAGTTCGAGAAGGTTGCCATTTTAGTGCATTTTCAACTACAATAACCTATTGCTGCTAAAAGTGGTTTATTGACGCCGACAATGTAGTGGGAAAAGTTTCGATGTATGGAACCGAGAATGGGGCTTTATTTGAAAATAGCGGATTAGAACCATAAATGATCTGTTCCACTTTTTAATACGGCAAGTTTTGTGTAATAATTAGCGAATTGCAATTCGTTCCTATAGACATTTACGGTTGACGCAATTTCTATCATATACAAATTACCTGAACAGGTGAAGGCTGTAATGTCAGCTATTCATCAACACTGATATTGTCTGGAGGGTACAAGAAATTGCCAAATCATTACTTTCGTTTGAGAACAGTGATTGACTTTTGATTGATTGGCTAATATGCTAAATACTTTCTCAAATCAATTATAACCAAAGCGGGAAATCCAGCTCTGGGAATCACTGATCCCAACAAGAATAAATCTTGTAAAGTGACATGGATGATTGCCATAGCCTTTCAAACTACACAAATTTATTACGCTGCTTAAATCAAGATTATATAAATATCACACAAATGATATTCGGTTTTGGAAAAACAAATCTGTGATACTGTTAACAAGTGTGAATGGAACTCAATTAATAACCTATTGCAAATCTATTAGATTCTATGCAATTTTTAGCATCAAATAAATAAAATTATCACTTCCACCTGCATAAGTTAGCAAGTCTATGAGTTACAGCGCAATTATTGTATTATTTAACAATTTACACGTCGATAAAATTCGTGTTAAATTGAACAGCTTTATTAGTGTTGAAAATCGTAATTAACGATTTAATTTGCCCAGACGTATAATCAATATTCCATTCCAGAAAGATGTCGTTCGTTGAATACCAGCAGATTTAAAAATAAATCACGAATAATTACTTAGGATTTTCGATTAGAATTAACTTTTTTTCTTCGACATTTAAAAACTCACGTCGTTAAAAGCCAGTTTTAGAGAACATTATTTAATACTCGTGGCACGGGTAAATATCTTGCGATTAACTGATGATGACAATGAAACTTGTGAACTGGATTAAAGTTGATTATCCGACAGGAAACTTAGTGCTCAGCCATATTTGAGCAACATTTACTTATTTACTTTCACTATATCCTATGAATTATCTATTCCGCTGGAAGTGGTTGAAGTTTTCATACGGTTTATGTGATTATTATTTTAGACTGCCTTATTTCGTTGCTTAAGCAGTGCCTCTTTGAATATCGCGCTTCTGCAAGGAACAATGAATAATAAAACACTTTTGAATGTCTGTTGAGCAGTTTTCAAGCCACTTATATAAGACAGCTTAAATTGTACGTATCATGCCGAGAAGGAAATGCACAAATGCACCAGCTGTACTTAAACAACTAGAAACATCAGCGCAGTTAAATCAATCACTGGAAAGAAAACTGCAAAAGCTTCACAAAAAAGACAATTTTAACGGTTTACATTTCCATATCCAAACAAGCGAAATATTGGATGTCATTGTGATTTACCACCCATTCGTAACTGGTGTACCGTTATGCGATTTGTGTACAAAGATACGTTGGGATTTTTCTTGCATATTTAACATCAGCGCAAAAAATAACTGTTAGTTTTATTCAGGTTGTAGTTAATGAGCAGTTTATGTAATTATCTTATTGTATGTCTTGTCATAGCCGAAGAAACTTGTTTTTAATATTTCTGTTCATCCTGAAGATATTTTATTTTTGCCGATTGATCATTTCATGTTAAGTTTTTTCAGGTTTTTTGTTAGTTCTCATTAAATTTCAACGGATTAAGGGATCTAATTCAAGCAATTAAGCATTTTGTGTAATTTATTAGGTGCAATTTGTTAAAATCCTTCTAAGTATAATGAATCCGCATTCAATTGTAGCAAGCTATTATATATATGCTGACCACAAATGGGAGCTTAACAATAATGATTAATTTGGGTCGAAAATGATTAAAACTCAACAATAAATAATAGCTGAAATCGCAAAAACGTGCACGCTTCGACCACAAAATTGAACAAACTGGTGCCCTATTCAATTTGCAATAACATTAAATGCATCCGAAATCCACAATATTGGATGTGCAAAAAAATCTAATTGGCTCCATATTTCTCTCTAAAAAGATGAAAACTAACTTAAACCTTTATTAATGAGATATTTACTCTTCAAAAGATAAAAATAAATTGTTACATTATTCAAATTATCTGTTTGCTCATTGACTGATCAAGTAAGTTATTCTCTAGGTCAATGAAACCGCTGTTTAAATGATGCCACTGGAATCATATAAAATCATAATTGCAGATGGCTCGTTAATTTTCAACTATCATGACCATAGCCTTAGCAGATATTATAAAACGTTAATAATCCCACGGTCAGATCTAATGAGGATCATTTCCTTATTGTTGTAATTGGTGCTTCATGCCAAGATCTCTTCACTGCCTTGTCCCTGATAGGCGCAGATTGTATCAATTAGATGGTGTAAAAACTTCGTATTGAAAAAAGTTCTTTAGTATGATGGAAAATATAAAAGCCTTAAATGGTGGTAGGTGGATTCGTGCTAAAGGCCAGGTGAATGAACTGAGAAAAACAGCACAGAAGAGACTTTGTTTCTCGCGAAAGGTCGCTGGAAATTAAGACCAAACAGGAATAAACCGCAAGCCAATTCATATATCGAAAATATTGGTTTTAATTAGGAGAGACACTCAGTTAAACGCGCTTTTGTATGCAATAAATTTCTAACGTTTCTAGAAGGAGTATCGGTCTTGTGCTTTTAATAAATATATAAGCAGCAGGCTGGCGATTGGTGATAAAAATTACGTCATATCTACCTTTCATATTAGTATCTACCAATATTGTCGCTAATTGCTTCTGCTTAATTGTTCCTATTGCCAACGTTCGTATTAAATTTTATTGACTGCCAGCAACAGCGATGTTCTTTGGTCGGAATACAATGCATTTTTTTATAAAGTGCCATCGGTAATTAGGCGCAAAATTTAACATCAATTATATTCAGAAAATCGTGACCGTGAAAGTTTAAGAGATACGAGTTACAGTTGCATGGAAATAAAATGGTTTTCAACTAATTCAAAAACCAATTTAACCTGTTACATTACAAAGCAACTTGGCTATTTTCGGACACTCATTATATGGAATATTAGTCTAAAGAACATTATGGTTTACGAAACTTAAGCAGTTCGATTGCGACTATATAAAAGAATATTGGAAGAAGTGATGCTTCAGAGTGCTGGATTTAATACAAATGTAGTTGCGCTTTTTCTTAAATTTCCATGAATCCCCATCGAAAAATGGGGGCAAAAGTAACGCATGGAAGCAAACACAAAGTGAACTCGTCGCTGTTATTAATCTATTTTTGCTGAGGTTACATACTTGGCAATCGTTCCTGATCGAGGAGTTTTGGCTATGCATTCTTGAACTTTATACTATATTATATATTATAGGACTAAGCTCTGAAATTACTAACTAAAGCACCATTTTTCATGCAAAGCAAATGCGTTTACTATCAACATTTAAAACCGGTATAAGAGTTACTTGTTAGATGCGATTAGCGAAAGTTCCCCATGTACTTTCTGCTGGTAAACAACACATCAACATTTCATACCTGAGGTCAAAAGTGTTATTATGTTTAATATGACCTTAGATACTTGATAATGACTTTTTAGTTTTTTTAGTTATAAGAGGACATTTCCAAGGCGCTAAACATACAGATATGGTCGATATAAGTGTAATAAATAATAAAAATCATAAAAAACTCATTAGCATTTTACATTGAGATTGTCGGAATATTTCATTCAAATTAAGTGCACTGGAAATTATGAAAGAAATTTACCAATCGCGGTGCTTACTCATTAGTGTGCAAGAATACCGATTTACATTCAAATAGGAATGCTGCCATGCAAATTATATCTCGTGATAAAACCAGTGAATGAGCAATGAATTGATAACATTGAAACTGCTTATCTCCCACATGTTTTCCAGTTTGTGTTAATTCCTAACAATATCCGGCCTTAGGTGCATAAGCAATGCGATAGGTGAACATAACAACAGTATGGCACATTCAATAAATATGGAAGTAATTGTCAAGATTAGAAAATTGACTTACTTTACTTTGATTGATTTCCATTTCCAATTATTTTTTCACTTTTATCAAAACTTTGTACTTTGCGTTTAGTTTATTTTCACTATTTGAGATCATTGATTCTATTTATTCTATTTCTAGCTCAGTTTTGCTGTTGTCTTTAGATATTCGACATTAGGCAATTTAATCATGTTTATTAAGTCACCATTTTCCCTTGGACCTAGATTTTAGATTGTTTAAGAGCAAACGTTTGGGAACCGATCACGTTTTTCTGTTAAAGTGATTTGTTATTTTCCAATATCACACACAGCATTAATCGCTTACGAACAGACAAATGGCTTTCAAGAAATACTTTACCAATTACTTCTAAAACACTGGCCATGCCTAAAGTGATAACACTTAAACGTATCTGCAAACTTATTTTCGGTATCCAACCTTGAGGCCGAAGCACAATTAGTGGTAGATTTATAAAATAAAATGTACTTAAAACATCTAATTTGATTTTCAAATGTTGTATTTTTCCACAAATTTACGTATTAAGTAACTTATAATTCAATGAAAAAACAATTGAATTTAGTATGCTTACTTTATACATCTGGCTTGCTAACATGTTCCATCTTCATGAATAGCACATGGAAAATAAGCAAAAAAGCTAACTTTTATCATTCCAGTAATTGGCGGTTTTATGGTTACCCACAGCTAATGGATTGCGCTTATTGTAGTTCAAAATTGCCGCTATTTAGCGCCTTATCTGAATGTTAGTTTCTGCCCCCAAATTATAAAAAAATGCTTGGTAAATTCCCTTAAACTTCCTTTGGAAATGCACTCGCACAGAGTTGCAGGATTACGCTGCTATATATTTTCAGATTCAAATTCATTTGCTTATTCTGCTTTCATCCCATCTTAGCAGTAGGAACGAGCTAAACAACGATTTAAGAGAAGATTTAAGTAATTCCTACGATAAGCTTGTTAATGCGATTGCCTGGAACTTCATCAGGGAAGTAAAAAGTATCGCAACGGCTATCTGTAGTCAGTTAAAGATAGACAGTCTATTGATTTTTAAACAAAGCAAATGAACAAAGGCAGTCTTTGGTCGAAGCAGCTAAATTTAATTAGCAATTGTTTGAGGCAAAAGTAGTTATAGTTGCAGCCGTTGAAGAAATAATTATTTGGCTACTTACTTAAAAAAACTTGAGTAAGAATGGAAGGTTCCTGTGTCCCAGAAACACTTTGATTTGTACGCAATCCTAGTACTTTTCCAAGGAAAAAAATTGGCACTTTAAACCGTAACACTCAAAATCGTCGAAACTTCCGTCCTCATTTTTTGTAGTCTACTTATAATTTTTTTCCAATGCTTAAAACGTTTTGGGCACCGAAAGTAAACTGACTCCCACCAGTTACTGCCGCAGCTTTTTAACACGATTTAAAAACAAAAGCTCGACCATACACGCATATTAAACAAACGGTCAGACTCAGGTAAAACTGATTGGGATGCTGAATCGTGTGATTCGAACGGCTTGGGAAAGAAGATGGAACTTGTTTGACTTAAGGAAGATGAGTAGCGGGAATTGATTGGTTCTACGCGGCCAGAGTAAAAGTCCACTGCAAAACATTCGGTTTCGAAGAACAGAAACACTTTGCTATAAATCGGCCAGCTGGTTGAAGTCTACCAGTTCCTACAGTTGAGACGAAAAATAATTGCAAAAAGTCTTTCTACTAAGATTTTCGATGCACTTAAAAGATGATTTCAAGGTTTTTTTCCTCAGACAAGTTATATTGTTTTATTAATTTATTTGCAATGAGTCATAATTTGAAAAACACTTCCAAACTACCATTCTGCAGCTATAGTTTGCCTCGACAATTTGCCTGTTATAAACCAAAGTGGAATTTGCTGAGAAGTCTTAAACGCATTTTTTTTCTCTTGTCTTCACTTCTCGAAAAACCCTTTGTCAATTGCTGCCAGTTCTGACTACCACTTGACGAATAATTATTTTAGTTAAAGGTAAATCCTTAAATTTGTGATGTTAATAATTTACTTGAAATTGTTAAAAATTGTGCTTATAATCATACCACTCCATACATATTTTCATGGCTTAATTTGTTCTTGAGCTTCTCGACCAAACAAATCATTACTTATCGTGACTTCAGCCTGTTATCTCGAATTGTACGTTATTTTTCTAGGTATTATGTTTGAGGCAACCACACTGCAAATTGACTCAGTCAAGTGAACTGTTTTAATATCCAATCAATCGTTCTCAAATAATAGTTGAATATTTCAATTTGCGCAAACTAATCAAGCTCGGTAACAAACAACTTTTGAAAAAATAAAGCTAATTATGCAGTTGAAATGTAGTAATTTTGTTCCAAGTATAGTTTTAATAATGAATGCCTCGTGGTTGTATGTATAGATGTGCATGACATACCTATTAATTAATAAAATATGGAAAATCCACTATTATTAAGACTTCCAACAGACCTGATCAGCAATTAAAAAACTGATGCCTTACAATTTTTGTACAAGATGTTCCTAAATTCAATTTCCAGTCCAATGAAAGGGCTTGGATAAACGTAACTGGAAAGGTCTCCTCAACAGCATGTTTCTTTCAGCTTCTGCGACTTTTAGTTTTATGCAAACACCAATTGCTATTTGTTATTTAAACCCCTTTGGTTACATACGTTAATGATTTTACAAGCATTTAAATAAAACTGTTCATCAAGCAGTGAGATGATAATTTTTTTCTGCTTGTCCGGACATCCCGCCAATTTATTATCAGGTTTACGAAGTCCACAAAACCGCAATTCCCTCTTCAATCGCAATAGGTACTTAATAATCATTTAAGCAGACTAGACCGCAAATTAATAACCGTGACTTTTCAGACTCGTAATATCGGCATTAAGACTTTCGTTACCTAAGAAGTCTAGTTGTATTAATTTGAATAGACAATTGTTGTTGTTTTCAGTTAATAGTAATACGTCTAATGAATCATATTAGTTTTACAAACAAGGAGTGAATGAGTTGCAGTTATTGTTGGAAACCAGCTTTCTTACTAAAAAGCAACAAAGTTAAGTAACAATTTCAGGCTTGACAACAATCTCAAGCTAATTTTTATATATCTTCTTTTTACTATTTTGATGCAGCCGACAGATGTTAATGAAATCCTTGCTGGTTCTTCACATTCTGTAAAGGCTTATTAGGGCTTTGAATCCTTGAATAGTCAAATGCTGAAAGCACCCTAGCTTTGATAGTCAATTTTCTTCGAGACCATGTCTTGGGTTTTGTATAGGACGATTGCAATTTGCTACTCCAAAGCTGCCCCCAGCAACTGAACAATAATATGGAAGTAAGCTGGCTGGCCGATTGATAATATAGATTGCCAAACCGAACAGAAACTCACACATATTACCCACATTCGCCTTAAGGCTTGGTGGAAAATAGCACGGTCGGTTTAGTGGTCAAGTATGTAGATGGAACATAGCTATTAATAGTGCAGTCTTACTATATTTACCAACCGAGAGCCATCATGCCAGTTTTTCTTTGCTGCGCTTGGGACTTATTTATTTTGCTACCAACATTGTTTAGTTCATGGGAACGACAGAAAAACAATCTGCCAGTTGCCAGACCTGCTCATAATTCCGTGAAGCTGTTTATAGAGCGGGTTTTGGACCTTTTATCTTTAGGTCTGGTAGATTTTTGATGTGGGGGAGAATTCCTGTTTATTTCATACAAGCTGAACTTGAAGTTAATGCGAACCAATCGTAGTTCGGAGTGAGATCAACTATTACAAAAGTCTCCAGCAGATTCACTTCTGAATTTGAAGCTCTTGGTTCCAGGAGTATCTATGTACATGCAAAATATCTTGAGGGAAAGACTAATACTGTTCAAAAGGTTGGGTTTAAGTCATTTTGTATTTTCCAAGGCTAATCAAAACCCAAAATCGTATTGCATAAAATATTTACATTTTTACGTTGTGGGTTAAACATAGATTATTACAAAAACATTATTACGTCAAGAAAAATGACTCTTTAAAAAAATTTCTATGAAGAGCCAGAAAATAAAGAGCATTTGCTTCCTTACCATAAAGCCTTTGGGAATAATTGGCATTTCAAATAAATGTGATAAAAGTCAAATCTTAGTGGGAAATAGCAATTTCATACTAAATAAATTACTATTGTACACTGATACTTTTTTATATATTATACATTTAAGATAAATTGTCTTAAAATAAAACGCCTTCCCTCTTGTATTCTTTAAAATTCGATTTGACTTTCTACATTTCCTTATTTATTAAAGGAAAATTTGTAAGCTCTAGAAGCGGAGCAAATTGACGCAAATTTTTGAAACTTTTAACAAGACCTTTCTAAGAAAGTCAGATATAATTAACAAAATTAACAAATTTGTATTATACAGGAAACGCGTCAAGCTAATCACCGAAATTCGATTTAAAATAGCTTTTTTTATCTCAGAAACAATGTTTTGTGAAAATTTTGCAAATGGTGGTAAAGTGAGGAATTTGTATTGCATTTTTGTGGTCTTTCTTTTTGTGTCTCTCCGCCTGAACTGAATTTTCAAGCGAATAATGGTCGACTATAATTTTCCAAAAATTGTTTCCAAAAAAGTTCAGATATAAATACATATAATACTTCTAATTGAATAAGACGAACAAATCATCAAGACTTTCCAAAACTGGTGAACCATCTTTAGTTGAAGTTGAATAACACATTGTATTTTTTGAAATAAAGTAAGAGAGGTAAAGAGTGGATTATTCACATTTTAAACCGAGTGCACTCCTCTAAAAGGCCCTAAGGAAGCTATGCAAAAACAAGACGGATCAAGTCTTACTTCCAGACTTTCTATGTCTGAACGATGCGATTTAGAGGAGTTTGGATGATTGAACGTGGGACTTCCGATATGCATACCATAAATATGTGTTGAAAAACGTTTAGATTTGTTTTAGTGCCCTTAAAGTAATGTTAAATCGGGATGATAATAGATATTTAAGATTTCGAAACCCCGAAGACTTAGGGGACTCTAAACGTAATAAGAAATTAAAAGTCATTATGTATGGAGTCACATTTTTGAACTATTATGTGTTAAATTATAAATACTTGCGAAGAAGTCTGGAATCCTTTCCATATTCGCACATTGAACTTTCCGCAATGGGCAGACCGCCTTGAATATTTAATAATTGTTCAATTAAGAATAAGAAATCTCAAATATTTGTGCATCACTGGGAACCCTTTACTTTCTCAACTATTTTGTCTAATTTCTCTTTAAATATTCTCTCAAAATTATCAGCAAATTGATGAAATGATAGCAAGCAAAGGAGGTCTTCTAATGTTCGATCCAGCTACTCTATGTAGAGTATTCGCCGCAAAACGCATCTCTAATCGGCAGGAAATTAGTAAATCCAACTGCGCCGGAGAAACTGAAGGTTTGGAAATCTTCCAGAAATGGTCTCTAAATGGCTTCAGACTAATTAGACTCAAAGTACACCACTTTTCCTCATATTACTTCATGCTAGAAGACATTGCCTAAGGCAAGACTGATCTACTTTAATCTGCTTTAATACATGCTTATTTACCGATTGGTTTAGAAGGCATTAATACATGCTTTAAGCAATCGACTAGTGTAATTTGAACTGTTAGTTTCATTAGCAACTTTGCGCTAATATTTTTTGAAATTATTCTTCGCTAATCTCCTTAGGCCGGATAATTTTCATAAAAATTTTGTTAAATAATTTGGGACAAGTTTTTAGCAAAAACAAAGCGTTTGTATTTACATAATTTTGAAATCTAACGGACTTAAATTGGGAAATCAAATTTTTGACTATCAACACTTTTTCTGCAAATGATTCTAGTTTCCGCCCCGATTACTCTCGCTTGTAAAGGTTATTTCAAACGCGCTCTGTTTGCCGATATCGTTAATAAATAAGTGCTAAAACACCACGAGCTGCAAGGTAAACCCCAATTCACCCAGTGACAAAACATAATTTTGCTTTTCCGTCCAAATATGTATTCAGCATCGTATCTGCAACAGACCATTCCATTGTTGACTACATTCAATGCAGGGTAATAAGTAAATATTTGAAAAATCGACCATTTTCATCGGATGTTAGAGCATATTTCATAATTCACTTAATGTGGCGAGGAAAATTGGTTCTAGGTTATCAAAAGTGATTGTATGGCGCGCAATTCACTTCATAATGAATAATTTATTAGTGGCTAGCAAACATGTCTTCATTAACTAATGGTTAGTAGTAAAATTCGGCGGCACTTATGTCATAATTATTTCCATTAATGATCTCCCGTCTATAATATTACAAAGACACTAAAAGTAATTTAGTAAAAGTAATTTAGCAAAATTTGTCTCAATATTTCCTTTTCAAACTTCGCACCAAATGCCCATAATAGAATGCGGTCTACTTGACCTGTAGGTCATAGCGCACATGATCATTTTCATTTACCTTCAGTCTGGCTAGTGGCAATTAAATCTGCAAATCGAAAACAGATGTCAAGTTTTCGATATT